TGAGCTAAAGAATGCGTGCGGCAAGGGTGGCCGTGGAAAATCCATTCTTTCTCAAAAGTTCCACATTTTCTTGTTTTACAGCGCTGAAGTGATGCACATCCTTCCAAGAGTCTAGTGCGCCCTCTAGCTAACGATCAAATACGCCTTCCGACGAGAACTTTCCAAGGATGACACGATCTGTGCGCTCTTCAATAGCGAAGAAGGAAGTGATAGCGGTACTGAATTCATGACACCATTTCGCACAGTCGATTTAGACAACAACTGCCACGTCAAAAGGAGAGCAAGTCCTGGCAGGTATAGCTGGTATTGTCGCAATCAGTCGGGGCAAGGAGGGTGTGGAATGAAACCGCCTCCGGCTGCCTTTTTCTACCAGCTGTAAGCGCCTAGCCATCGATATAATTAGAAAAGAACCAGCACTGGGAACGCCACGGCTGGGCTGATCCCGTGCCTCCTCTTGACATTACCCCGACTGATTGCGACAATATCTGCTGGATGAAGCACTTTTTTCACGGTTTCTGATGTATAAACTGCTTGATCGCTTCGAGTGCTGTAAAGTTCCGCGCTGAGTAGTGCGAAAGTACTGCAAGGACTTGCACACTGGATGCTGAGCAGGTTCCAACCCACTGGCGTTGGCATTATAACCTACGGTTTTGGGATGGTGCCTCTGCGACACGGAGAAGGCCCTCAGTGAGTGCAACTTCTGGCTTTGCTTCTTTCTCTCTCTCCCTCGCTTTGTTCAGACCAGAAGTCATTGCCCACCTGTCGAAAGGCTTCATTAGGAAGATTTAATGGCGGAAAGTGGAAAAAGAGCCAATACTTCCCGGGTTCCTTTGAGAAGACGACGTGAAAGTTATCATTACACCCTCTATGCCGAAAATGACTAAGAGCAGTATATGCCAGGCGGGCCCACATAGGAAGAAGGTTGTCAGGCACTATTTACCTTTACTGCCCCAACCATCCAGAATTGAGCCAGTTTTCTGACCGACTTTTTTCTCCGTGGACAGATTTGGCTCAAATGTTGTCTCTGGGGTATTTTGACCTCCTGAATACGAATATGACATTCGCATAGCCCGAAACCTCCTGGCGCCCGCGCCACAGGCGCCGGTGATCTGGGGTATTTTGGCGCCAGCACCTGTAGCGCGGGCGGCAGGAGGTTTCAGGCCGAGCGGATGTGATATTCGTGTTCAGGAGGTCAGACTACCCCTGAGAACAAGTTTTCAGCGAATTTGGTGATTCAAGGTATTTTGGCGCCGGCGCCTGTGGCGCGGGCGCCAGGAGGTTTCGTGCCTAGCGGATGTGATATTCATGTTCAGGAGGTCAAACTACCCCAGGGAACAAATTTTCAGCCAATTCTGCCAAGGCAGAAAAAAGTCGGTCAAAAACTGGCCTGTTTTCGGAAGATTGGGGCAGTAAAGGGTAAATAGTGCCAGTTGTCAGATTGTAATGAAACGTTCTCAACTCACCTAACGCCAAGCTCTGCTGTGAGACCACGACTAGCTTCTTCGAAAAAGCATTTCACATGAAACGCTTGGTCCACTTTGGTGATGAAGAGCTAAAAATCAGCACTTACTTTTAGAAACTTGCCCTCGAATCTAACTTAAATTCCCAACAGTTGGATATGATACTCATTACGTACATCCTTAGAGACTTTCTTGTGTATTCGGACCTTTGCAGTTTTAGATAGCAAGTCCATCACTTACCTTAAAATTAAAAAAGGGGGGGGTGCACGGCAAAATCTAATGCCAACCTTTGTCGGCCTTGTTGCCCTGACAGCGTTTTTTTGGGGCGCTGTCTATAAGGTTTAATGTGCTGTGTGGCTGCCTGATAATAGTCCAGCCAATCTTGTGGGAACCCCGGTCCCTGTCTGGATTTTCCTCGCGAAATTTTTCCAGATATGTTTTGTCTTATAAATGCTCCAATGCTATGAATTCTGGAGCGTTTAAAGCTTCCCGCAATATTTCTAGTCGAGACTCTCCAAAAAAGTTTAAAGATCTAACTTACTGGGTGAAATGAGACAACGATAGTGATACCATAGTACATTCCGCGTGGGTCCACCTGAAATCAGGTCATTCAGATGCGAATCACTTTTTCATAGCAAACAATCGAGTTTCCATTTCTCCAATTACAGCAATTTGGTGCGACCAACTAGTTTTTGGGGACTGTTTCGAAATATTGGTATACGACCCTCGTCGTGTTGGTGTCCACGTTGAGAATCTCTGATGGGGTGTCACGTGTGCAGCACTTGGACGAGAACACAAATAATTTATTGAGGAAGTG